AATTCTGAACTATTTCCTGAAAAATATCGTTTCTAATCGCCAACACTATCTTAACCTCTCCTCCCATACTCTATGCTGCACACGTCAATTCAATAACCGTTCACAAGTATGAAGAACAAAACAATAAGAAAGCCATCGATCTCGCAATATTCAACACGAACACAGCTATGATAAATACACTACAACGTCTCGAAACAATTAGCTAAAGCTAGAGACAAGAAAGACAGATTTCTTTCGGTTATGTTGTATATGTTCAGCACATTTTGTTGCACATTACAGCTGACGTACAACAAATCTTGATATGAACACTGTTAAAAGCCTTCCTACTAGAGAACTACTCTGATTATCACTGCTGTCATTTTCCACACTGTGTTATGAGAGCATCATGGTTGAATATCGCAGACGTATACTGTCTGATAAGTTCTTCGGCGAGTCCTGGCTCTTCTGGATTCGAAGCACGCATGAACGCTGTATGTCCTCCATGTTCAGTGACCACTACAGCCACATTCTCACTGCGCACCACGTCCGCAAATGGAATTGCTAAAATTCAATCAATCGTTCTGCTGCATGACTGAATGTATAATGCATATTTCCCATATAGAATCATAAAAGCATTTATTTCATGAACAAAACCACAAAACTTACAATCAACTGGACTGAAGCAATCATCAGCGGCATTCAAGCAAACAGTTGGTACAGGTATTTGATGCACTTTCCAATAGAGCGCTGCCTGATGATAGTATTCATTGCAGTCTTTATAACCGAATACCGGTACGGTGAAGGCTTTGTCAAAGTCGCGCACAGTCTTCGACATCATCACTTCGTCCCAATTACAACGGCTTTCGAATAAGTCCTTGTATCTGAAATCAGACATCATCACTAGATTTTATTGCTCCTTCATCGCGTCAATAATTTACCACCTTCTTCAGGCTCCCTCAGATCTCTTTGAAACAAAGTAATGAGCATTTTTCAAATGCGACGAAACCACTTACGGGCTAACAATTCCACGCAAATGATTAGCCAACACGCTGTTGAAGAATATTCGCGGAAAGAATCTCTCGATAGAACGACTCGCCTCAACCGGATCGAACGGACTTGAAATGCAAATGGCACCGTTCAACTGCGCTGCTTTCGCCGACGTACATTCAGCCAAATAATTCCATAAAATCATCCTAAAATACTGATATTGATCATCATATTAAGATAAGAACATTCCTGATGCTGAAATTCCTAACACGACTGTTCTTATATTCATTAGAAACGTTAGCAGGATCACCGATGAAGAGAACACACCCGCCCATCGAGAATCCACAAGCGATTTTCGGTGCTTTCACATAGCGATTCGAGATTAGTTTTAGAACATGACGAAGATCTGATGTCCAGGCTGCATTGTAGGTTCGAGAGGTCTACAAGGTTCACACAATATCTTACTGAATAAATAGACACTAGTGCAACATATTCGAGGAAACAACTGATAATGCATCTGTCTTCATACTGCATAGTCATTCACCTACATATAGTCTATTTGTAACCACTGAATAATTTTCATCTCAAAATAATTCTCCATCAATTAAATCTCATGAATATGCATGAGAAAAAACCCAATCAGAATAACGAACGCATTCCATGAAGATGGCAAATAATGACGAAAATTATAGAGCACCAACTTGATCTAAATCACGACAATTCCCAATAAATTTCAAATATTATTTTTACAAGCAACAATCCGTTGAAAACGAACCTTCAGTTGCACGCCACCCAATCCACGAGGATTTATAACCACAGAGCGATATCCAAGCTTCCTACATTCAACGACGGCACGTAGAATATACGCACAATCATGCGTTGACCCTTAAATTATAGCCATCTAATTCCACAGCATACTCTCAATTTGAAAAATGTATCATAACTTTTAGATCAACATCAAATAACATGGCATCGTTTATTCAATCACCACATCATGGTCAACCAACTATGAAACAATTACTCAACTCCCAATAAAATTATCGGCATTCGCGCTTACAGATAAAAGCATATTTCGAGAAATAACCATAAAACAGCCAAATTAGAATAATAAGGAGCAGAAGTGAGATCACGAGTGAATGTATCAACCAAAATCTCACCACAAATTCCAGGAAGAAAGACGACGATCGGTGTATGATCTTGAACACCATCAACATTCATCCAGTCAATTGCCGTTATGCCGCCATCTTCGAAAGAAACGATTTCGCTGTAATAGTGGCAAAACTCAAATCAAAAAGTGATCAATGAACAATTTACTAAGCATGCAAATCTATCAATAATGATATTCACTCAAAACAGAAATGCTGAATAATAAATCTGCTCACCGTTCGAACGGTAAAGTGGGACGACTTCGCATAAGCTGACAAACGGCAGTTTGCAAGAAACCAAATGGACACCACCAAATGGGATGGTAAACCTCGTTGACGCAGGGAACGCAATCAGCAAGAGCTCGTTCGATACGCGAAGATGGTGCTGCATAGACTCGAGGCTTCTAGAATACTAATGATTATCACCGCCACATCGAATACTATGACAGCTGATTATCATATTTTGAAAATTTTCGACTCCTTGTTTTCCGTGGTCAGCTTATACCCCTTTTGTGGATTAAGGAAAAACCTAAGGGAAATATGCTTCCTAGTGGAAAATGAAAACTTCAGCAATGAAGCTTCACAGAACAGAATTTTGACTTTCACTCTCTGCGAGTTTCTGATATATGCTCACCTTACTTCATCAAATACCGAGACCAGATCAGTCAACTTCCCAATGGTGAGCGATGCTATACAATTTAACAACGGTAGGGGAGGACGATGAATAATGGTGACGGAACAGTGCAGAGCAGAACCATGAACTCGGACAGAAATACAGAGCTTGAGTATTTCAAAGCACCAAATCAGTGATGAGAAGAGAAGAATGAATTCTTTTGCCAGAATCGAGTGGAAGCAGGATGAGATATTGTAACCAATCGAACAAGAAAATAGGTAGACCCGAAACGACGAAGTGAGAGAGAATGACTACTTGAAATACTCATCAAAGATCCAATTTGGCCACAAAATTGATCGACCGTTTAATATCGTAATGGGTGATAAGTGATGAATATTTTATGTACATTGCGAAGAATGAAAATTAACCAAACGAAGTGATTATGCTTAACAGATCCCATTATATAACACAGTTTGAATAATGAATAATTGCGTCTTGCGGTCACATTAAGTGAATATTATGCTGAGGAAACGTTGGCCATTTCTTTGATGAAACGTTCACGATGAATAATGTTCGTTGTGGCGACGATAATACGGAAACTGTTCTGTTGTGCCAGAATGTTCAACGCAGCGATTTCGGCGTATGTTACACCACCAATGAAATAGACCATTATCGCTTTGCGTATGCGACTATCTGGCGGTCGAGTAGCCGGAGTGTTCGAATTCTCATCGCAGAAAACTGCATCACCGAACGTCTTCTTCATTTCCGCAGGGTTCCAACCGTTGGTTACAGTATCACCGACTATTTGACACAGTACCGGAGTGAACGCACCCGAAAAAACGTAACGCATTTGATTCGGCGATCGTAGGTCAATGGCCGCATCCTCGCTCGTCGGTAACAGGCTCATACGACGACACAAATATTGGAAAGTGGGTCGGTTGGAGGAGGCGTGTGACGAGCGAGCAATCTGCGGTACCGGTGTCTGCATTGAAAGGGCAGCATTCGCATGCGTTTTCAGGACCGCCGGTACCATCTGTGAAGAGCCACGCTCCATGAGAAGACCTTGTATCGAGAGCGCGTACAACGCCGGCAAATACTCGTAACCGTACGCTCTAAGGAACTGACTTCGAAATGAAGCGTAATACTTCGACGGGATTCCATTCTGACACATCGACCAAAGGCAAGCTAGCAGCAGGACTTGCCACTGATTTCGCTGCTGACACATTGTATCTTCAAGAAATGACATCAACTCATCCAGATCACAACTGCCGTTCAGCAAAGAATGTTCAAATGTTAAACGATCAGACATCCCTTTGCAACTCTCCAGTACCACTTCACATGCACAAATGTGCAACTCTAGCAGTTTATGTTGTTGTTTCAAAGCTCTCAGCTCATTCGACACGAAATCTTTCATTTGTTTCACTTGCTCCAAATGTGTACCTTTATCGTAACTAGCTTGCAATGACTTCGCTTTGGCCGACAGGAATGGGAATACGGCCGTCATATGCATATCACGAACTGTTGAGAAGATTGCATCATTATTATCCAATGCAGTCACTCGACCCGCGCGATTTGCTGACTTCTGTGCCGACGACGGCGAATTTTTCATTCGTTTCGTCACCTCATCACCGAATGTTACCTTACCACAACTTATCTCAAATGTATCGTGCAGCATTGATTCGTAGGTTAAACCGGTCAACAGAACGCTTGTCAGATCCAAATTTCGATCCATCAGAAACAGATGGCTTACGGGTTGATCCGCTGAAGGACGTGGCTCACCCAGCTCAGTATAGAGCTTCTTCATCAGTCGATTCGTCAACAAACTGAATTCACCCACTCCGTAAATGGTTGGTATCAAGCCGTACAGGGTTTGAAGTTGCCAGAGAGATTTAGCCACTGTTCTCAGCTGTGTGTAGGTATGATCAACGAGAATTGATTGTACGAAAGTGGGTAGTTCCAGAGTGAACAAATGCGAGTCAATGCCAATCAGTGGTAAATCCATTTCGTGGATGTCCACCATACCGAACACACCATTCCTCTCCAGTTCCAGTTCACAAACATAAAGTTTTGTCGGCACAAAAATCACCGAATACTGATGGTCTGGCTCAGCGCGGACGTGTTCTGAGATTCGTTTGGCATTTCGAATAGTTGCTCGAACCAAATAAACGCGACGTAGTGCTTGTTCACTCCAGAATAAATTACCGTTAGCAGACGAGAACTGCTGCACACTAGCACAATTGTGCTGTTGCAAAAGGGACATCGAAGCGATTCGATCCAAGGGTCTCGTCAGCGATGACTCCACTATCAGATCTTTCTGCTCGGGATTCAATTCCAGTAATCGAACCAGATCACGTCTTGCAATTTGCGCAAGCAGGCCGAAATCATCGAATTCAACCATTTTCATTGAATGATTTCTTTCTGCAGAAGGACGCATATTGATAAATTAGTGCTCGCACTTTTTTAGTGTAACGTTACGCATCTGAAAGCAGTCGTTATGTGTTCTGCAGAATTGAGTAGAACAGATATTGTTTCATATTCAAATCAACAAGAAGAAATTGCCGAGATACGTTCGTTTATCTTCGAACTGATGACATGCGGAATCGTCGAGATTCAATTCAAACAATCAGATCAAACGCGATAGAGTAAGATGATTATATCTTGTCATGTGATCGAGCAAAGGTATATCGCATTTGAGTACGTCTCATTCAGTGATTCAATTGACCATCATTGGCCAACGCGTTGAAGTAGTGAGTGTGCATTCATATCATTCATCCAAAACCACAAACCAATATCAGGATGTCGCCGAGAGGTCAGCTTTTCGACACGGTGCAAACGGCTAGGATTGAAGGCCGGAGATGGGTTCACGGGAAGAAGTTTTAAATCATGGTTGAACATAAAACCCAGGCTCTGGCATACTTACCCCGTCAAAAACGAAGCATTCAGTTTCTTTGAACTAATCACAAGCTGTTACCACGCAAAACTTTAAGAGCTCAAACAGAATACTTTCGAATTCCTAGCTAATTTGAAGTCGAAAATCAAGAAGATCGAGTAAAATTCAAGCACCTACCTGAGCCGTAAGCCGAGCGTAGAGCCAGAATGATAGAAGTGTTATGGGAATTAAAGCAACGAAAATTGCCATCAGTAACATATTCTTCCGACTTTCCTGCTTGCTTGCCTGCCCTGCGTGGTGCAACTTTTCACTCTGTTCCGCTTATACAATTTTTGCTTAGATGATATGTACGCACAAACACACACTTCCACTCATAAAACGGTTTATTACCCTGCTGTCTTGACACACACACACACGCCTTAACCATACAAACTATTGCATGACTAACCATAAATTTTACTTATTGCTAGTGATGAGAAATGATACTGATAACGGAACAAATAATGAAAAAAAAAAACGCCACTAAGCAGCTGTTTGATTGACTGCTTTAGAAAGCAACATATATCGTCATTATAACAAAAAGAGATAAAGCAAACAAATACACCACAGATAAAACTAGTTATTTTCACAAATTCTTCCAAAATATTGCTACAGAACAATAAAATATAAATAATAAAATACTTCCATCACGTCATTCATATCGCATTTATTCGAAGAGGGGAATTGAAAATCAACAAAACAAATGAAGAACAGCAAATCAGCCACTAAAATATTTCACATTCATCGCAACTCGTCCCGTGAATTACTTATGCATTTAAAGCTAAGCTCGACGGGAATAACATCATCTACGACGTCAATCACATGTGAAAATTACATCATAAGTGGATATGACGAAGAAAAAAAACAGAAATGAATAAAAAATGCATTTATTTTTTTTAGCATTATAAAATTTGTTCAGTACAAATTTTATCATTTATTAAAGAGCTATCAGAGCATTTCGCCACGATAGAGGATTCTCATCACTTAAACGAGCGATTTGTCCGATGTTAGTGCAACTTTCGCGTAATACACAAATCGCAATGCATTCGGGACGAAGAAATTGAAATTACGTTGT